ATAAAGCGCAGCATTTCTGGAGGCCATGCGGATGAAAACCACGCTGAAAAACGTCAGTAGGGAGCAGCGGTTTCTATTTGCAGAGAATGTTTTTTTTTAGGCCCATCAAGTGTAAAACCAACAGCGTACCGGCGCAGTAAGCTCAGCCACTCTAGCGTCAGAGGTGCTGGGCAGTCACGCTTCCTGTATCGCCCACTATTAAATGGCAGCGCTAAAGAAGTCGTGTTTACAAAGACAGTAACACACTGCTGCTGTTGAAAAAGATAATAGGCCGAGCCGGGGGCAGGCAGGCGTACACCGTGTGAGCCCCAGATGTGGGGCAGTGAGAGGGACAGGCAGGCCTCCGATCGACACGCATTAGCACTGGCCACTGTGGACTCAGGCTCCACACATCGTACACAGTGAGCTGCGAGCGAGAGACTCTCACAAGCCTCTCTTCCTTTCCCTGTCGTCCGTCTTAACTGCAGTGTCTGCGTTGAGTAAACAGCCTCGCAGGGTCACTCTGGAAGTGATCAATTTTGGTGTATTTTTGCCACCTGAGCTTCAAGTGTTTTTGTATTACTCCACAGTGCAATCAATACTTGGTCAAATATGTGGTGCTGGAGGAAAAAAAAGGCAGGAACTAGGAGGATCTGGGCAAATAGTCTTTTCACAAATAACAGCTTGTGTTTATTCTCATAGAGTCATTTATATTCTGTTTCTCCTTGTAGTCTCTTCATTTTCATAAGAAAACAAAATTGCATAAGCACCTAATGAACTCCTGTCTTAAATGTAATTTTCAGTTCACTCCTTTTCCTAACCAAAGCACAAACAGCAGTGCAGGTCATTTTTTTGATTATGTGTGTTCAGTAATCACTGGCCGTTTGCTGTGTCTGGCCTTATTGAGCCTTGATTTGATCGACTTTAAATAGTCGAATTAAAAGGAACTGTTCGCGTAATTAAATAAACACGTCTCACCAGACCCTATTATTCCTTTGAGTTAAGCTATTGCATCATTTAAATTTTTCCACATATCGGAGGCCCAACACTTGCTCTACCACAATAGGATGCCAAGATTCTTTTAAGGAATAGGCGGCTTGTGTTAATTTCAGCGTCCCCATCACACGAAGGTTAATTAATGCGAGCATGACAAAGCATTGAAGTCTTCCCTCGGTTCTCTGATCACAGTTCTTTAGGTGAAATTATTGTCGGCCGAATACGTCGTGAGAAATGTTTAAGCAACACGCCTTGCTTTAAAGTACAAACGTTTTCGTTGTGTGCATCGATTTAAGGCATTCATTATTTAAACAATAATGCAGAACATCAAATACGTGATGTGTCTTCACTTTAAATCAATATGTTATACGACATTAAGACGTGGAACCTTTTAAAACAACTTTATGTTTCTTGTTTATTCCTAACCCGGGTGTAGAATGACGGCTGGAGCTCTTTACCTCCCGGGCACGTATATACGCGATCAGTTTGTTGCTGTAGCTTAAAATACGAGGTCAATACTATCTCCATTTAAACCTATGCGACGGCCATACTATTCTTTTTAAGTGTTGAAAGATTTCGTGTGCCCTTTTACCTTCAGCTCAGTGACATGGAGAAAGCTTTTCATCTTTGCCTGGTTTCCTCAAACAGACTTCACGGCCCTATGATGGTAGTAATTGGGCGCAAGTTTGCTTTTCACGACAGCTTTAGTCAGAACCGAGTTAGATCATGTAATGAGTTTAATATTGCGAAAACATTACGTCTGTTTTGACTTGTGATGTGGCCAAAATAATATCTGGAGTCACAAGAAACCTTTACAAACACGGGATAATAAATGTACATGGAATAAAATCGATAAAAGATGATGCATGAATCACATCCATAATAACTCCCGCTGTTTCGACAAAAGACGTTCCCGTATTAATTTATTGTCGGAACCTTTTCTTCACTTAGGTTTCTTTAAACAGATGAATAAAGAAAGATAATTTAAATGTATTTTAAACTGAAAGTACTTTGCACACTAATATGTCAAGTCAATGACAATATCCCCTACTTGCACACTGTGCTTTAGTTTCGTTACACCATTGCGTTATGGTTTTTATTATTGTGGTGATTCTTATTCTTTGTAATAGGCGTATAAGTTCCTGCAACATAAGAATTACAATAATAAATAAATCATACATTATGCAAAGAAACGAAAATCTAACGCCGTATATATTCTCTTGAGGTTGATAAAACACCTATAGCGCAATTAGACAAATAGCAAAGAAAATAGAACTGTGTACTGTGGATATCTTGAAAATGAAAACTTTTTTTTCGTATTTTCAACAGAAAGACAGCCATTTTCATTCTGTTTATTCTAATTTTATAACGTACACGTCACATTCTAAATGAAAACGATTATCAATATAGGCTATTAACGTTAAATGAATTAAAATTAAACATAAGATTTTACTCGATTAATATTTAAATAAATCCTAAAATTAGCCTATTTATTGGAACCTTAAACGTGTAAAACAAACAATCCGGAATTGCCAAAAGGCTGCAACAACCTATTTATGTATGTGTTAAACGTAAGGGTTTTATATGTTTTTCACCTCCCGTCACTCAGTTAAATTTCCATACTCTTTCTCCCCCACGGCATTCCACAAATAAACACCTGAGTGCGAAAATTTGAAAACTTCTATATACTTCCAGTCACTAGTCTGACCTAAGTAAACCAAATTCAGCTTTCTGTAATAAAAGAACCGGAAGCCGATGCTGCGCTCAAAGCCCTATAATATAAGCGGACCAGATGTGATCGCCATAGAAGTACCTGGGGAGAGAGGCGGAGATCTATCGGCAAAACCGGCCCATTGCAAGGATCATTTAGCATCTAGATCTTGTAAATATTGGGGAATTTAGCCAACTATAAACCCAGAGAGACTGGTGGAGGGAGGGCAGGGGGAGGAGGTTAGGAGAAAGCTGGGCTTAAATTAACAGATCCTATATTGCAGGAAGTGCAATGGTGTATAAAATTAAATGCAGCTATTTAAAAGCCGAGGTAAATAATTTCAAATCATTATTAATTGTATAAATAAAATTTCAGAGGTAATACTGTTAATTTAATCTGTTAAATTACCGCGTGGTTTTACGAGATCATATCGACATTTCAAAGTTTAATGTTTGTATACTAAACTGTAGCGGTCTTATCTATTAATTCGTTTTAACATTTTCCATGAAACGTACGAGCCTGTTTAAGCATGCAACAGCCACAATGTTGAGATGATTTATTGTTTTCAGTATTTGAAACATAGTAAGTAAAAATCATTTTAATTTAAAAAATATATATTTTAAGGAAACTTTCTAAAACATTGATCATTGTCCAAACAGAAACAGAAATGAAATTGAGCACAAGTAGCACGATGCTTTAAAAACATTTAATGAACCAACGTATGATACTTAAGACTTGCATATTTCGAACTCCCCTTTCAATTTTTAAATTGAAGAAATGCATGCGTTCGCACCTTTAAGATAATGGACAATAATTTACAGTGTACCCTGGGACTTTAAATCGTCCCTGAGTATTCTGCTAGGCTTCCTTTAACGATATTCATTTTGCATTGAAATAAAACATTTTTTTCGAAACAAACGGGCCGCAGAAATCATCAGTACAGACAATTCCGGCGGCTCGACAGGACACGTAAGGATTTCGTAGATTGACAAGAGCGGGAAAGGTGGACAGAGTCGACAGTCACAGTCTTTTTCTTTTATGCAACTGAGACGAACTCGTTAATTTTACCTTCGACAAATTGCTCAGGATCCACTGCAAAAGCCGTCTTTTATTTGTTCGCCGGTCAAAGAGAAGGGATTTTAACATGTGGTTTTTAGAAGCAGTATGCGTGCAGAGAATGGCTGTTCTCACTTGACCGTAATTCTAGGAATGTAATGTAGTTTGCTTTCTGTGTTCATTTAATTAAATATTGATGCAAAAAGTAACAAAAGAAATGAGACGACAATAAAAGGAAAATGGTATGCATCAGTGTTAGACCATAACACAGGAGGCGTATTCACATCACGTCTCGCGTCAACTTGAATAAAATTACTTTAAGTAGGAGAACATGTCTGATTTTGGAAAAAAAAAACTGCTGTATTTGCTTATTAGGGTTAGGAATTAGACTATCTTGTTTGTTAGTTCGCTATTATGCTGTAGATGAATGGAATACTTAACTTTCAAAGAAAGTGCATGATATAGTTCAAGAGGTTTTCAAAACCTTCTTCGTGTAATTTTATATTATAAAAACCACGTACTTGTCCTCTGGTCGACATGGACTACTATTTCAGGAATAGGTACATCTCTCGTAATGGACCAAATTGGAAAAGTTCTGATTATGTACAGAAGTATCTACATCTACGCTGCATGTTGTGGAGAAAGATGCTGAAATGTAGCAGCACGCGGCGATCCAGCATTTCCAGTGCGCAAGGAATAAAAGGAAAACGACAAAAAAAAAAAAACCCTTTCTGTTCGGCCAGGGAAGACAAAAGGTTGGAAATTTCCCTCAAAGAGCAGTCATAGGTTTTAACTAATACCTCAAACCAAAAGACAAATAAAAACACGCTACAAAACAAGTGTTAGGTAAGAGTACAACAGAATAGCGTGAACAAAAAAATGGGTTAATTCTATGAAAAACTTAGACAGCCGTTTTATTTAAATTTTTTCCTTCAAGAGAAAAAAAAAACGACATGGCGGGGATAAAAGATGATTTCGGCTTCGTAGTCACTCTCCTGCGGTCGCTATTTTTTCATAGAGGAAAGATTAAAAGATATAAAGCTAGTGGATCTTCCAGCACAGAAGTGTACATTATTTACAACCTTTGCTGTTTATTAGATCTAACACATTACAGGAACATCAAAGCCTATGTTATACATATATACTACATATATAAAATAATTTAATGCCAAGGTCATCTACCCAGATATGGTTGCAAATGCTAAGTTTCAAAAGCACGTTTTAAGCACTCATACAAACCCATCCTGGCCATAGAACAGAAAACTAACTGTTAATGTTTCATCTGGATTCCAAGCAAGGTTATAATCACTAATAAATAAGCGTCTTAAAACTGTATCATGTTGTACATTGTACAAAAAGAGTCAGTTTTCCCCCCCGATAAAGTTCATAGTTTCAAACAGCTTTCTTTTTTGCCTTGACCTCCCCCCCCCTTGTTCCTCCCTTTGCATTATGGGAAGGCCGTCGTTGGCTAGTTGGTGACTATTTCCTTATTATCCTCCATGAAGCGCGCAAAGCGGAAATGGGTCCCGTTGTCGGCGCCGGCCATCTTCTCGAGCCCAGCAAGTGCGGTGCTCGCCTCGGAAACGGGCAACTTCTCCATGCTCCCCGTGCCGCCCCCCAGAGGAGAGCTGCCCCCGTGGCCCACACCCCCAGACAGGGGTGGTAGCCCCCCGTTCTGGATGACTGAGATCTCGTTGGCCTTCATGGCCAGGCCGCTGGAGAAGGCCGCGGCGTACTGGTTCCAGAAGCCAGTGGGGTCGCCGTTGCCAGCTCGCGACACCATGTCCTTCTGGAAGATCTCGGGAAACTTCACGGGGTTGGTGCCCAGAAAGGCCATGGGACCATCCACAGATAGCCTGCGACCCCGCCTGGCAGGGGCGCTGTTCCACATGTGAGTTCCCATATGAACCTGTACAGAGAACAAAATGCCCCCACAGAAAGATTAGCAAGGCTAATTTGAAGGGGACATCAAACACACACCAACAGAAATGGCAGCAGTCATTTAATCCAACAAATTAGGCACCTGCTGCCTTCCTACCAGTTCCCATAATTCTAAATGCTTTGCAGCAGAGTTTCCCAACTCACACCTAGGGGACCCCCACACAGTCCACGATTGTGCTCACTCCCGAAAACGCGGACTGTTCTGGCAGGAAGCTGAGAGGGAGCAAAAACGTGGACTGTCTGGCAGGAAAGTGAGAGGGAGCAAAAACGTGAACTGTCTGGCAGGAAGGTGAGAGGGAGCAAAAACGTGAACTGTCTGGCAGGGAGCTAAAGAGGGAGCAAAAACGTGAACTGTCTGGCAGGGAGCTAAAGAGGGAGCAAAAACATGGACTGTCTGGCAGGGAGCTAAAGAGGGAGCAAAAACATAGACTGTCTGGCAGGGAGCTAAAGAGGGAGCAAAAACATGTACTGTCTGGCAGGGAGCTAAAGAGGGAGCAAAAACGTGGACTGTCTGGCAGGAAGGTGAGAGGGAGCAAAAACGTGGACTGTCTGGCAGGGAGCTAAAGAGGGAGCAAAAACATGGACTGTCTGGTAGGGAGCTGGAAGGGAGCAAAAACATGGACTGTCTGGTAGGGAGCTGAGAGGGAGCAAAAACGTGGACTGTCTGGCAGGAAGCTGAGAGGGAGCAAAAACATGGACTGTCTGGCAGGAAGCTGAGAGGGAGCAAAAACATGGACTGTCTGGGAGGTCCCCAAGGACCGGGTTGGGGAAACACTGCATTACAATAGCGCAAGCTTTACGTGTTGCGTATAGGCGACAGGCAGCAATCAAGCATCGATGAGATGGTACAAAGACAGCTTAATGCCAAAGATGATTGTAAGGTCAAACTGATGGATACAGGTAGGACAAAGTTTAGCTGAGGAGAATGTTAAGAGTAATATTTGTATTTCATACATTCAGCAAGAATTTGCTTTAGCAGCATGAAAAGCAGTGCAGTAAAATATCTCTATTCACCAAAAGTAGTGTGTTTTTTGCCAACAAATCCTTAATATTTAAAACAGTTATTCTTCTTTTACATTTTGCACATAAACATGGTGCAGCTTTTATGACACAATCCCAAGCTTTTTATAGCTGAACATGTAAACTTAATACCGACTTGCATTCCATAAGATACAGAATAAAAATCATGTATTCCATGCAAAGTGCTAACCTGTTAGAAGTTCTCAGCTAATGACTGCAAATCTGACATTGTTTATTTGATCACAAAAAGTGGCTACCCCACAGATTTTCCATGATGGTTTAATTTCGGTTAGATATAAAGTGGGCACTTTTGCTCAACTGCCAAAGACATTTTAGTCACGTATTTAGTGGCTAGGAAGGTTAACCTGAGGAGAGATATTAAATCACACCAGTACAGAGAAAAATCCCATATGAAAATCCCACACCACCACTATGTACCTATTCAGTGAAGTTCAATGCATTTTTACTTCATATTTCTACTATTTAAAAAAAAAAAATCTATAAATGTGATTTTCAGACATGCATGGTTCACATAGAAAAAAACTCCCCGTGATGGTTGTGACGGAGTACGGTGCCAATTATTGTGCATGTTGAGAAAAAAAAAGTGCAGTTTGAGAAGTTAATGATTAGGAATACAAACAGGCAAAGGAGTATTCGTTTACAACCATGACTAAACGTACCTTGAGATTGCCTTTGGTAGTGAAAGCTCGTCCACAGATAGTGCATGCGAACGGTTTCTCCCCAGTGTGTGTCCGTTCGTGGATCTGCAGGGCACTGGAAGAGGAGAAGGTCTTTCCACAGGAGTTGCAATTATGCTGCTTAGGTGTCCGACGAGGAGGGGCTGAAGAGAGCACTGGGGGTGATGTGGCAGCCTGCGATGTCACCAGGCTCACCACAGGGTCCTTGACATCCTGGTAGGAGCCGTGGAGGAAGCCGTTGACCTCCGTCTTGATCATGGAGGCCAGGGAGCTGGTGGAGAGGAGTGAAGGACTGGGGCTTGGGGTGGAGGGCTCAAAGAGCTGTGAGGGCAGGTCTCGCATCTGGTGAGTAAGCATGTGCTGCTTGAGGTTACCCTTGGTAGAGAAGCCACGGTTGCAGGCTGTGCAAATGAACGGTCTCTCTTTGGTATGGCTTCGGTAATGAATGTCCAAGGCACTCTGGCAGGCGAAGGTCTTGCCACAGATGTCACACGCTGTGTTCTTGAAGGTGCTGCGCTCACGGAAGGGAAACATCATGGTCAGGGCGTCTTTTGAGGAGTTACAGGATGTCAGATCTAGAGCCCCAGTGGCCGGGGGCTGCTTGGAACCCGTATTAATATGGTCCAGTGACAAAGCCTTCAACTGTCGGTCTTCAAAGTTGGGGGACTTGCGGTGAATAGGGGCACTGTTGGTAGGAGATGGAGCTTGCATTGATGAGGTAGACTCGGAAAGAGTTGGGCTTCCAACACTTTGGCTCTCAACATCATCCCCCAGGGATGAGTCGTCGTTGGTGAGGCGGTCCCCCTCCATAGAGCCATTTTCCATGGATTTTGCTCTGCTGGCCTGCAGCTCCTCCAGTAGCTCTTGCTGGGTCACCTTAGTCTGGCTCTCCACACATCCCCTCCCAATATGCTCAGGCTGACCCGGGGAGGAACACCGGCTGTCTTGGGAGGCTTCGGTAGACCTGGGCGTGTCTGGAATACTGCTGTCGGGGAAGTCTTCCATACTTTCCATGTTGTCATCAGAGAAGTTCTCCAAATCATCGAAGTTTCTCTCATCGAAGGAGCCAGCATCTGACCCCATAGACTCAGGGTAAGTGTCAGGGAGGGGGGTATTGGGAATCTGCCCTCCCATATGCATACGGATGTGCTGCTGCAGGACCACAGCATTGGTGAACTTCTTCTGGCAGATAGGGCAGGAGTGCTGGACCCGGAGTGGAGGCATGGCACGGTGGACGCTGTAGTGCGTCTTCAGGTTGCCCTTGGTGGTGAACGCACGGCCACACACTCTGCACTTGAAGGGTCTCTCACCAGTGTGTGTGCGGTAGTGCATCTTCAATGCACTCTGGCAGCTGAGCACACGGCGACAGATGACACACTCGTTTGGGTCACTCCCCTTCCTGTCAATGTTCTCTACGAGCTGCTGCAGCTTAGAGGTCTCCGAGGTGTGAATGGGCTCCAGCAGCCCTGCGAAGGGGAACTTGGCCTTGAAGGGCTCAGACATGAGCGGCACCAGAGGATTGGTGGTCACAGGAGGGCTGCTGGTGGCACCGTCTCTGCTGTTCTCCATGGCAGAGCTTACACTGGTGAAGAAGTTGATGGGTTGAGTGCTGTCTTCGGTCTTCCCGTTTGAGGTAGGAAGGGTACCACCTTCGCCTTCTTCTGAGACAAAATCGTTAGTCTTCGCAGAGAGCTCGGCCGCACCTGAGTCGCTTCTGATGGAGCTTGAAGGGCTCATAATGGCCACAGAATGGCTCTCCTCTTTCTTAATGAAAGGGGGCAGACTGTGGAGGGTTGGTGGAAGCAAGAGGCCCACGGAGGAGGTCAGGGTAGACAGAACCGGCTTACTATCCAGCCAACTGGTCACTGGCTTTTCTGGTGGCATGGACATGCCATATGGAATGCCAGTACTGGTTGGAATGTTATCTAAATGTTCTGGAACGGGGTAAGGGTTCATCTGGATGTGAGGGTACTTCTCTTTATGCCTCTGGAAGTGGACTTTCAGGTTCCCACGGGTGGAGAAGCGATTCCCGCAGATGTTACATTTGTACGGCCTCTCCCCAGTGTGAGACCGCAAGTGGATCTGCAAGGCACTGTCACTCCCAAACACCTTGGCACAGAACCTGCATTTGTGTTTGAAGAAAGCCTCCTCTGGACTGCTCTTGGGCTCAAATGAGGTGATGCTGGGGGACTTGCCTTTCCTTTGCTGTGCCAGGGCAGCCAATGAGCTCAAGTCTTCCACAGTTGTGCCCACACTGGGCAATGAGTTAGGGAACATGGGATTGCTAGGAAGGGTCTGAGGTAGTAGCGGATTTGCTACAGGTTTTAAAAGGTTCCCTATCCCAAAAGCAGCCGTGGATGTTTTCACCAGTGATGGATTGCCGAGGGGAGGCTGTGCAGGTTGCCTTTCTGAGGACAGGGTGCCCACAGCCAATGGCGTGCCAATGCTCTGAGATGACTCGCCCCCAGGAGGTGCCGCTGCCCTGCCAGGGTCACCCTGAGGTAGCTGCACCGCTGCTGCCGCTGCCGTCAAGTGTTTCAGATTGCTGATGCTGGCAGATTGGCTGGCAAGGCTCTGAGCCAGCCCTGCGGCCGCAGCTAGCTGCTGGGAGAGGTGCGAGCTGAGGGCCGACAGCGGGCTGGTGCCCGTCCCCGACATCCCAGAGGGGCTTCTGGGTGCCTCGGCCGTCTCAGGGCTTTGTGATGCCAGCAGCAGGATCTGGTGGCGGATCTGCTCGATGAGCTGTAACTGGTGGACCTGCTGCTGCTGCAAAGCCAGAAGCTGCTCCATCAGGGCCGGTACCGCCACTTTGCAGCCAGTACCACTGGAACGGGTTCCCTGGGAGAACTGAGCCACGGCCACCTTGGTGCTTTGTAGGTTCTCGATGATGACGTTGCTGCTGATCATGGACAGACCACCCAGATCGTTCAGATTGGCTAGCTGAGGTAGAGACGTGGATATGGCCGAGGCTCCGGTGGCCGGACCAGAACCAGTCCCGACACTGCCACTGTGGTCCAGGCTGCTCACGACAGAACCGGTCCTATTGGCACTGCCGCTACAGTGTGCTGGGGGCACGTCAACATCCATGGATTCCACTTCTTCCGGAACGCCGCTCTCAGTCGGGCCGCTACACTCGATGTGATCAGAGCCGGCCGCCAAGTCGCCCACCAGCTCATCAGGGTTTTCGCTTGGCGAGCCCGGAGAGAACGGCTCGGGAGGGGAAGCTGGGCCGTCGTTCACGATCAGGACCAACGGGTTCTTAGTGCAGTTCTTCTGGTGCCGCTCCAGGTCGGCGAGGTCAAAAAACTCCGCGCAGCAGCTCCCGCAGACACGGGTGTCCGGCTCTGCTCTCGGGGAGCTCTCTGGACAAGGCCCCACGTCCCCTGAAATACACAAGGACACGGGATTAGTAACCAAAACGCATTGTGGCAGAAGACGGCACTTTATCAGGCTCTAACTTCGTTAATCTGTCTCGCACTTATCTGCCTCTAGACTGACACAAAAAGCAGCAATGCTGTGCCACAATAAGGGGATAAGAGACAAAATCAATAACACACCTCAAGTATTGCTTAAAACTGATCTTTGTAAATGTGCAAGAGGGTTCCATCAATGCAGCTGTCTTAGATAATCATTTTCTTTAGATAATCCATCAAAATATAAAATACTCCCAACTGAAGATGTCGGGGCTTAATGCATTTTCATAGCGGAGTATTGATTCCCAATATTTCATACTCCTCAGTGTCTACTTGTCCGCCACGCGCAAATCAACCATATGAAGGATTTATTAGACTTTCAAATAGCTGTCAGTGCTGCTCATTCTCAGCCCGCCAGAGCTGTCCTGGGCAGCTCCTACTTGCCACTAAGCTAATTTGTGGCCTTTTGTCCTGCCAGTGGCACCTGATAAAAAGGGCGTAAGCTGTGTAGCACGGAGTCAGAGCAAAATGGCAGCGGATTGTCAAAAACAAAAAAAAAAAAAGGTAGCATGGCAACCGTTATAAAGGGCTGGGGGTGTTTAAACAATAATAAATAAAATATATGTACAAAGAGACACGCACACATTTTTTCTTCTCAGGATTGAATAGCTGCATTACCTCCAACACAACTTACATTTAAAATAAGGTCAATATCTTTAGTTTTCAACATGAAATCTGCATTGAGTCAAAAGGAATACAGTTTCCTGTTTCCCCAGGCAAAAAAAAAATACTGACCGTAAGAATTTTAAATTTTTTTTAAATGGTTCATTACTATCACTCACAGACAAGCTCAGATAATTACCGAAGGGACAGGATTCCTGATTCACCTTTTCTTGGAACAAAAACTACTCACAAAGAAGCACATCTGTCCAGCTCTTGCATGGACATAAGTACAAACTTGTAACAGAGGAAGACAGCAGTATGTGCACACAGCAGCTTACAAACACAGCCCTAATCGTAAGGCCCAGGTCAAGTAAGCAACACCAGCCCCATTCCCCAAAAAATCCCCGTCCACTGTGCCAGCACCGCAGCGTTTAACTCGTACGTTGATTTACAAATTACAATTTTCCATGAATCCCTTTCATCGCCTTTGTCACACCGTCTCACCGCATTATAAGTTAGCATGAGAATTCATTTGCAAATGAAGCCCCTCCCCCCCCCCAGCCACCCACAACTCCCCCCTGCTGCCAAAAAAACTATGGTGACCCCGGTGTCATTGTAAAGCAGCATGGCATGCTATTGTCTTCACAGCATGGTAGCGGTGGGGCCAATCTGCGAGCCCATCTCAGCCAGATCCCCAAGCAGATCTTCAATTCAGGGATTATCTCCCTCCATGTTCCCCTGTACTGAAACATCAGATAACACTAAGTTGCCATGACAGTAAAACTTTCCGTCACACCTCAATACCGTGCCAAAAAAATAAATAAAAATGAAAAGGTGGGGCAGGGGAGGCTCTGGGGGGGGGACATACATGCAGCTTATAACTTTAATATTAGACTTAAAGAAATTTAGACTGTAATGAAAGGCCCACGGAAGAGATAAACTACTCCCGGGTTAACTTTAGCATATAAAATTACAGCAGATCTTTAAAGAGTATGTGCATGTGTGTGTGTGTGTGTGTGTGTGTGTGTGTGTATGTATGTATGTATATATATATATACATACACACACACACACACACACACACACACACATACATACATATATATATATATATATATATATATATATATATAT